GCCCTGGAAGAACATGTTGCCGAAAAGTAGTTCACTGTACGAACTTAGCCCGTTTCTCGACGTTGATGGATTGCTGCATATGAGAGGTCGCATAGACGCTTGCGAATTTGTGGAAGAGTGTACGAAGTGCCCGATATTGTTACCCAAGCGTCATCCAGTTACGGATCTCATCATCGCCGATATTCACCAGCGGTATTGCCACATGAACCATCAGACGGCGCTCAACCCATGGACAGAGAATGATGTTGACACTCCACGACGGTCCGACCGTGCAAAGGTGTACCGCCGAGTCGTTATCATGAACATCGAAATGAACCAAGTTCCTACCAGGAAGCCATGAATTGCCCCGAAAACGAGCAATGGAGAAGGAGATCGAATCGCTTCGAGAGAATGTCAAATTGGGAAATCGTCAGACTTCCTGCAGACAGGAAGGCAATCGGAAGCAAGTGGGATTTTTAAGAAGAAACTTGATGGTAACGGTATAACATAATACGGTACAAAGCCCGTATGGTTGCCCAAGGTTACAACCAGAAGTATGGAACAGACTATGACAAGGTATTTGCACCGGTTGCAAAGCCCTCCTGAGTATCGCTGCACGCCGGATCCTCATAGTGCAGCACGCAAATTGTTCGAGACGATCTTTATGAAGCAGCCTGCTGGATTAACGTCCGGTGCCAAGAATGATGTCTGCCGTTCGCGAAAGAGAGCCTGTATGGTTTGAAGCAGGCGGGAAGAGTGGGAGTTTTACGAATCCGATCCTTGTCTCTACATGAGAACATGCCACGGAAAGAAGTCTTTCGTCTTACTCTATGTAGACGATGTGCTGATGCACAACGAAGAATACGACATTTTTGAAGCGACATTTCAAAATCACATGTTTTGGAGCAGTATTTAACTACCTGTGTATTCAGAATCAGAGAACGCAAAGTGGCCAGTTCCTGTTGAATCAGAGCGCTTACATCCGGAGGGAAGCAGCTAAGTTTGGACAAGACAAAGCGAAGCCGTCTTAATGGACCCCGGATATCCGAATCTACAACAAACGGAGGAGGATCCGATGCATCGGAGCTCGGAGCTCGGAGTTTCAAAGCTTTGTTGTGTATTGCGGTGAATACGAGGCCCGACATTGTTATTAGCCGCTAATTAGCGCATCCATTCTGGAACGCAAGGTTAGCCATCCCACCGAAACAGACTGGACGGAAGCCAAACGCACACTAACGCCGACTTGAAATTTAAGCTAGGAGTTGCAGGATCACTAGAAGCGACGCTGACTAGGTTTAGTACACAATACACTACCAACTGCTGGAATCTGAATCGAAGCAAAGGCTGGCGCACAATGCATAAGTTTCCGGGTTTTTTGACAGATAATGCATGGGCTAACTGTCAAAAAACCTGAAAACTTATCCATTGTGCACAAGCCTTGATAGTTCAGTGAATAAATTAGAAGAAAAGGACAAGAGAAGACCAACAGGAAAGGGACAAGTTATTAACAAAGGGATGTACTCCACTTGCCAAGTTATCAGAGAAGAGAGTAGAAGCGAATTAAATTTCAATAGTTGGTGAAAATTAAAGAAAAACCAGATAACGTTGGAATGCTCCGAATAAGCTGTCTGGGACCGTTTCGTTTTTTGAAGAACTCACTTCGCTCTTCCACGAGGTTCAGCAAGAGAGATCTGGTCCTCGTTGCACAGACCAGGGGATTGCCTTGTCAGACCCACGGACCCAGTTTCGTTACCAATCGGGTTACCGGGGCTATAGTAGTGAGTAACTGGAACCTACTCTCGCCACGGATCATCACCGGCAATTGTCGGCGATTGATAGCATCATCGCCGCCCTTACCGGCGTCCAATCACCACGGTAATCGTCGTCCTTCTCGAACCCAATCACCACCACGTTTCCCACCATCAAGCTAACCATCATCTTCGAGACCATCACCACCACTACCGCCCAGCGTGGTTCAGCAGTTGCCGGCCAGCCAGGTATAGTTTAAACGAACACACTACACACCACACACATGCACACAGCATGTAAAATTTAGGGAACTGAAGAATACGAATGTCAATCATTAGCTTTTTATTCAATTATACCACACTATACGAGTCCTGATTAGTCCAGTAAATCTACACCAGCCGACCTTGAGACTAAGTATAGTCCTCCAGATCGAGCTAGCCATCGAAAGAGGTCGTTGGATGACCCACCCTCACTGGTAGGCCGTTGCTTAGCCAAGCCCGCCGAGGTGTTTGTGTGGTAACCCTTCAAGAGTCAAACTAGAGCCGTTGCAGAAGAAGATTGAGTGAAGGAGAAAGCTGAAGCAATTCGACTGAAGATTCCAATCACAGTAGTCTAGATAATAAATTACTATTAATAAACCCAGTTTACATTAGGCACTCGACACCTACGGTTGTCTTTATTCATCCTTCCAAGAGGTTCTACCATCACCTGGCACTCGTGTTGGAAATCAACAAAAGTCATACCCATCCGGAAACATGGAAACCAGACCAATTAGGATTTAGGATTATCCAAGCTGTTCGAAAAAGTAGTATTTTGCCGTCTTAACGGCTACCGAATAAAAACTCATCGTACTCGAGGAGCAGTTTGGATTTGCCGGAAAGGTCGAGCGTTTTACAATGTCTGGCATGATGAGTTGGTGTGCAAGGTACAAGGATGCGATCTTCCAATCTTCCTAATAATTTATCTCGGATAGAACGGTCAAGGGTCCATCCTGTCCCACCTGTTCACCTTCGATATTCCGGCGCTCCCGGCCTTTGAGGGTGCGCTTCGCATTACTCCTGTTATTGAAGAGCTAGCTAGTCATAATAAATTTTCGAGTTTTGCTAAGCAAATACTAAGGATACATGTGGTTCATTTTTTGATTTAGTCTAAATGATCTTCTACATCCCGAAGAGTACTCTTTGCTTTGTTGATAGCGTGCTCAAGATGGGCATTTCAGTTGAGTTTTCGATCAAAAATTACCCCCAAACATTTGGCTTGCGTCGATAATTCTGTTTGAATGTTGTTAGTATTGTAACACTAGGAATTCATCTCAGAACTTTCCCCGATATTCTCTAAGAATCTTCGACAGAATTATTTTTAAATTATCGCTAGAATTTTAAATTGGTTCTCCACGGAATTTAAAAATTCTCTGAAAATAATCTAGATCCTGAAAATTTCTCGAACATTTGAAGTCTGGAATCATCTTGAGACTCTCATCTTAAATCCTTGAAAATTTCTTCTATCCATCAATCGTAATCCTGTTTTTTTTTGGATTCCTGGGAATTTGTTCACTATACCTTTTTTCCTTTTGATTTGTTTTCCGTGCTGATGCCACCAATGCTATCGACGCCAGGGAGGCAAGCTCCCACACATGGACCCACCCATCGAACCAACAAACTCATGAACCGGAGAACAACGGCTTTACTTTCCTTCCGAAGAAAGGCATCAGAGATGTTATGCCTCAGAAAATCCCGACGGCGCCGCCGACTGCAATTGAACCCAGGCCTTCTGGAGTGAGGGGCAGTCATGGTTACCGCAACCAACTTAGAAAAAGTCTTCGCATCCGGCCCGCAGGTTGTTCTACTTTTGTTCATCTCTGTCAGACGAAAAATTGAAATCATATTTGCGTATTTTGGAAACAGTTTCTTAGATCAATATGCAAATTTCAAATTTCTCAGTAAATCACTAAGCTGCTTATTTAAAAAAAAATAACAAGAACAAATACGATTTAAAACATCGCTGAGTACTCGATCTATGAAATGTTTTCTAGATTCTGTGACTTTAAGAATAGTGAATTCACATTTTTTTTTAATATTCGTTGGACTTTCAAAGATCTCTAACGCAGAACAATTTATATTTACATGATTCTGGGACTTTAAACATCTCGGACATAAAGATTTTTTTTTTTAATACTGAAGCTTTTTTAGGAAATTTATGATCCACAGAAAATTATAAGTTCATGAACTTTAAGGACCCTGGAACTAGAAAATATAATTAATGAACAATAGAAACAGATTCATAAACTCGATTGAACACAGTTTTCAAAACAAATTGGCGAAATTTCCTGATAATTCAAGGATTTTTGCAGATCTTCTCAAATTCCCTGTTAATTCCAGGTTTTCCAGGTAGTTGCCACCCTGTTCTAATAGCTAGTTTAACTATCGGAAGTCACGGAACCTGGCAGTATGTAGGGTGATCTACAAGGAAATTGGGTGTGTGTGTTTGTTTTCACAAGTGAACTATGGGCATGGCAAGTTTTGCTATAAGAAATACACATTGTGTGTAATTGCAAAACTCACATGAAATACTCATTCACTTCTATTACGTATTCCATTCGAAACGGATTTCTCATCCATTTTTTATGTAAGGGAAATCCATTTCGAACGGAATGCAGAATAGGGGGTATTACTTGCATGGGTAATCAATTAGTAAATAAATGTGTGTCCAGCATAAACCTTTCGGTCATATTAAACGGGTTCAAACCTGTCGAAATCCGCTGAGATTTATTTTTCTTTGGACATTTTCTATGGCGACCATAGTCATGAACTTTATCTACAAAGAACTTCACTGGCTGATCGTGAGTATCTTGCCACCCTAGTACCCATCCAGACTTCATGGTAAGGTAATTAATTAAGTCTGTTCAAAGATCAAGACACTACGGTATTAATTAAAAACGCCAATGTTCCAGTGATGCAAGTGTTAATTGGCCAGAATTTTCTCGTTATTAAGCAAGTCATATTAACGAACGCGTCAAATATTGAAACAATCTTCTCAAAAACAATTAAATTACACCATTTGATCAACAGACTAGAAGAAATATTGATAGAAAAACGAAAATCATACATCACTACGATGTTGTCTGACGAGGTACACAAAATTACATTACTGCCGGCCATTAGCATTTACTGCCGTCTGCTATCAGGTTACACTAATCATCTCCAATACTTCCATTTTCATCCTTCTCACCGAAACTATCACTGAAACTACCGACTAAATGCGAATAAACTCACCTCACAGAAGAATTCATTGCCACGAAGTCCGCAGAACCAAGAAATCCAAGAAACCTCCTCGGAGCTACTCATTTTCCTGGAAACGCAAAAGGATAAACAGGTTCATTAAAATCGCACCCTTCGTCAAGCTGTCCGGTCCGGTGGAAACGAGAATCAACGTCATCCAAACATCCCAATCCCAGTCCGGAAGCGAATTCCACTTCCAGCCGTCGCCAGCAGTAGGCGAACTTCTTTTTCACTTTTTTTCTGACAGCACCTCACTGAAAATGGTTGATGATGGAAAATGACTACCCTCGCTTGCAGCTCGACACACGGAGACGGAACGGGAACTTTTCGAATGGCATTTTTCGCCTCGGCCGGGCCCGATTCGTGCCGATTCCACGTTCAAAACGGCCACCGCCTCAACCACTTTCAGCGGATACCCACTTTGGCCACAAAATAACACCAATTTCACACCGAAAATTACCTTTTTATTCCCTGGCTAGCCACGCTTATGATTAAATCTTGAAGAAATAAAAAATACGAAAAAAATCAATCGAAACTCGAACCGTGGTTCACACTGTACAACTGTGCGCCCGGGAATGCTTCACTTCTTTCGCCGTCGTCGTTCGATGTGTGGTGCTAGAAATGCTTGAAAATGAGTTGCGATGCGAACGAACAAACAGAGCGAACGCGACGACGTCTCCTCGATGCAAAAGCGACTGGGAAAAAGCGAACCCGAAGCTGTGAGAAAAGGAGTCCACTTTTTGACGTTTCTGGCATCCCCAAAAGCCAAAACTGGCAACGAAGACGACGCCGGGCGCGGACGTTTTTTTTTTACAGTTTGGGAAAATGCGCACGATGCCGCGATGGGAACAAACGCTTGCGGCTGCCCCGACCGGGGTTTAGAAGCGAACGGTTAAAATGTAATGTCGTTCAAATATTACGTTATACCAACCGGTGGAAACAAAAGATTGAAGGTGATTTGCTCATTTCAAGACAGCCTATATTACATGATATAAGCCATAGTCTGTCCAGGGTATTATACCCCGAACAGACTATGGCTTATATCATGTAATATAGGCTGGCTTGCAATGAGCACTCTTACATCTAGTTTTCACTGGAAATCCTATATTACATGATATAAGCCATAGTATGTCCAGGGTATTATCATAGAGGTAACTCTAAGACTAGAAGGTCCCGAAGAAACGTGCTCAACTTTTTGCCTCACCGCTGGTACTATCTTCAGTCCCAAGCTTGTCGAATCACCCCTCGAAAGATAGGAAAAACCAATAACCCCTCATTTTATCTGTCAAACTTTCATAGCTAATCAAAACAAACATTGTGTAGTAGTAGAATTTCGACAAGAATGGGGTACGTTAATCGTTTGCTTGGGACCAATAGGCTAGTCAAGTAGTGAGCCAATTTAAAATCGTTAGTTTCGTATTGATTGTTGGTATTATTCTCGTAACCACTTCGAAACATTAAATGCACAAATACACTCAGTTAACGTAACGTAACCTACGAGATTTTGATTTTTCGCATGCTTAAATGTTTTTAAAAAATCGGATTTTGATGCCATTTGTAATTAAAGCATGATATGGTCCATATAGACATATTTTAAAAATTTCTGTATTTACACCAAAAATTGTGATTTTTTTTTTTAAGTATGCCATTTGATTACAAATAGCTTGAAACGGATAATGTGATTGGAATCAAGTCGATAGGTTGTATCGTTGTCGAGAAATCGTTAAAAACGTACCGTGTAAATCGTGGAAAACCGTGTAAAAAAACCGCGTAAAAAAACCGTGTAAAAAAAGACTTCAGTGTATAAGCTTCTACGACATGTGCAACATTCAAATTGTTACTTCGAGTTTGCTGCACTGTAGCATACATGAAGTAGCAATTTCAGGTGAAATTGGGCAATGATTTCCGAGATTTGCGCAATTGAAAATTCAAAGTGGAAGTACATGTATAGCCTACGCAGCGGTCATTTTTGGACTCTACATTGGTCCCAAGCAAATCGATTAACGTACCCCATTCTAGTCAAAATTCTACTACTACACTATGTTTGTTTTGATTCGAAATTTGAAAATTTGACAGATATAATGAGGGGTTAGCAGATTTTCCTATGTTTCGAGGGGTGAATCGATCAGCTTGGGACCGAAGATAGTACCAGAGCTGAGCCAAAAAGTTGAGCACGTTTCTTCGGGACCTTCTGGTCTTAGATCTCTATTGGCGTTGACGGTGACTCTGTAGCTCTTTACTCCTATGAGAAAATCCATAAGCAAACGTCAGACTGTGCGTGAAACATGGCGGACTTTGTACTATCCTTTCACTCCACCGAAAATTCCCATAAGAAAATGTCTATATTTGCTGGAAGAGCAAATTTTTCGACGTTGCCGTAATGGTAAGAGTATACTCACAATCGTTGACGGACAGCTCTGCTGTCACTTTGAATCAGTGCACGGTGGAGGCAGGGCTGTGCATTTTAAAAGGGCGTGTGCTGTCCGCTGCCAACAGACCTTATGCCAAATGGTGTAGCCCCGTGAATAATAATGATAATTGTCAAAATAATCCACTCGTTAATGCTACACGCAGAAAAAACTATCGTCGTAACAAAAATATTTGAGGTAAATTTAAACGTAAACTCAGTTTGTTCTGGCCACAAACATAAATTAGCTTGATTTAAAACGTATTCCATGTTTGAAGTCATGTGAAATCAAGAGCAAATTTTCATTATGTCGTAAGTAACATTCGCACCAATCCGAGAAAACTAAAGTTTTGTTTTGATGACCGAAAAGTTATTCCTATTTCCAATTAAACACATATAATTTCATATTGATAGCAATGTTTGACATATTTAGCAGGGTTTTAATCATACAAATGCAAATCGCTAGCCTTCATGCTAAAAAATACTGGTTTTTGAGTCAAAAGTTATTATACGTCGTTTGGTGGCCCCTATTGTTACTTAAGTCAAAGTGTATTTTCCAGGATATTCGGGAGAATTATCAATTACGTCTCCTTACGTGCAGCCCATTCATCATTTTAGGACCACCGAAATCATCTTAGCAACAAACAGTTCGATTTATTCACTTTAATAATGAGAAAGCGAAACGACGAACGTACAGTTTTCACGGGTTTCTCAGCGCTGTTACTTAAGGCAAACGGCATCTCCATAGAAATCGGGTGACTTAAGTAACATCGAAAACTAGTTTGATCGGAAGGTGATTACGTCAAAAAGCAATTTGACTGGTAAATATATTTAAAAATGGGATGTCATCCTATATTCGGACAGTATATAGTGTAATAGCAGGAGCATCGATTGACACTGATAGCTCGACTTTGTTTACCTTTGTTACTTTGGACGTAATGAAAATTTGCTCTTGAAATCCTCGGGGAAATCAATGTTTAAAATAAAAATAATGTTACGTTTATTTCAAAAATATTCGTGTTGAAAATAAACGTATTTATTTTTGTTTGGTTTGACAGCTATGCGAACAATAATAAATATGTTTATTTTAAACATGCTTCTCATGTTTAAAATAAACATACATATTTTGGAATTATTTTAGTAGTTGAGTGCAGGTTAAAACAAAATAAAACGGTATGCAAAGAAATGAAAAAAAGAGATCTTCGGGCAGGGCATCTTAATTCCTGCTCTTTTTCGGGTGCGATTAAGGGTGACCTGTGGGTATTGCACGCTAACTTAAAAGTACCCATTAATGGTTGAAAAAGACCCATTTTGAAGAAAAGTGGCTTAACTCATTAAATGAGTAAAATTTTTACCCATTAATGAGTATCTGTTACCCATTAATGAGTAATTGTTAATCATTAATGGGTAACAGATACTCATTAATGGGTAAAATTGTTTAATCATTAATGAGTTAAGCCACTTTTCTTCAAAATGGGTCTTTTTTTACTCATTAATGAGTACTTTCAAGTTAGCGTGTGGAGTCCTGGTCCGGGATGCACACTAATGGCGGTAAGCTCCAACTCGGATTAACTTTTAATACCGTCCCTGTTTGTATGATCTGAAAAATGTTTGCTCAGAGTTATGTTGATTAATGCTGATGTCGACATCAAACCAGCCGGACATTCTTGATCGAGATTTAATCCGAGGATAATACCGGTTGGAGCTTACCACCATAAATCTAGCTCGGTAAAATCTCCAACAGCCGATTACCTCGAGGGGGGCGACACATCTAAATCTCAAGTTTAGATGCTCAACAAATCTCACACTAGCGAATCAATCTTCGAAAAATCTTCTTTCATTTGTCGCATCTACTTGCATCGCTCATCATCTTTTTGCAGGAAATCTTCAGAATCGTCATGAATCTTCTTTTTATCTACTCAGTGTGCGCGCAGCTAACCACAGCAAAACACAATCTTTTTTGCATCGTAGATAGAGTCGTCCCCCTCGGATTACCTCGACATTTACTTCTGCTGATATCTCTGCAAAATATCTGTTTGTTAGCTGATTATCTCAGCAAAATGTTATTTGTTAGCTGAGTCTCGGCAATTGTTTTACTGAATCTCAGCAAAACAAATTACTGAACTACTCGGCTGTTGGAATCTCGGCTAAAAAAATTAAGTGTTTGCGAGGACCCGTTGGGGTGGGTGTCCGGGGGCTCCAGTTCAGTGGAACCGGTGCAAATTTGTGTTACTGGCGTCGTTTTGCCGTTTCTGCCTCGGCTTCTGCCACTGGTCCTCATACCGGTTTCTTTCATGTTCGGTATCGGAGGAGGATCCGGAATGGATTCGGAATGGATGGCCGTTTTCTGTTGAGGTTGAGCAAAGCTGGGGCAACCTTTTCCGAATGTAACAACGAAGAAATAAAAAGGCATGACACGCTAAAACCATAGAGGTAACTCTAAGACAAGTAGGTCCCGAAGAAACGTGCTCAACTTTTTGGCTCACCTCTGGTACTATCTTCGGTCCCAAGCTTGTCGAATCACCCCTCGAAACATAGGTAAAACCAATAACCCCTCATTTTATCTGTCAAACTTTCATAGCTAATCAAAACAAACATTGCGTAGTACTAGAATTTCGACTAGAATAGGGTACGTTAATCGTTTGCTTGGGACCAATAGGCTACTAAAGTGGTGAGCCAATTTAAAATCGTTAGTTTCGTATTGATTGTTGCTAAAACCGTTTACCCAAATCCTATATTGTTGAAATAAACATGCTTTTGGATTTAATTCAAACATAAATATTTTAGTTTTAAACATGCTTTCAATTTACTTTGAATAATTCATATGTTTAGAGTATAAACATTTATATTTTTGTTTTATATGAACAAAATTCGTATCCGTGTAGGTTTGGGAATGTTTTACATAAAGTTCGCTCTCTGGGAGGGATATAATTAGATTGAAGAGGATCTACACGAGGATCTACACATTTAGATTTTGTTTTCATGTTCGGTAATTTTTGCCGAAATCAGAACAGCTGAACGTTTGGTAAAACTTTGACCTTCATTTAAAAGTCCATTGAATTGAAAAAAATAGTTTCAAAACATGTTCAACCTTGTTTAAACGATCAAATCTTGTCATTTTAGCGTAGATTTAGTTTTAAAGTGACTGAAAAGCAATTGAAATAAATTGCATAAATTTTACCGAAAAGTTCAGTTGTTCAGATTTTGGTAAAAACTACCGAAGTCGGCGATAATTTCTAAGTGTGTATATTAGGACATGAATACAGTAAAGAGGTATATTCTTATTTTCGTTAGAACCGTATTTTTCATTTAAACATTTTTTTTGTATTGAAAAACGGTTCGAACGAAAACTAACTTATATTCAAAGAAGAGGGGCTTTTTTCGTACACGATTATGTTACGACGGATGCGCACCTAAGACCTAATTCCGTGTAGTTTTGATATTTTCTTCCGAGTTTTCTTCCATAATTTTAAATTATCGGTTTTCATTGTCATCTGAAATAGCTTCCTTTTCTGAGCATAACGATTTGTTTACGAACCCATAGACTTTCATCTCGATTTTAAAATCAAGTTTTAAAGCAAAATCAGAACTTCACTGTTTGACGCTAAACTAACAAACTGACAGGATAGCCCTCACTCTTACCTTACCTTACCAATCAGGTTAAGGCCTTGTTGTCCTCTGCTGTCCGAAGAAGTCGTCTCCACTCTATTCGATCCATGGCCACACGTTGACAGCCTCGTAGTCTGCGAAGGGTCCGCAGGTCGCCTTCTACTTGGTCGATCCCTAGGTCGATCCACCTTGCCCGCTGCCTGCATTTTCTTCTTGTTCCTGTTGGGTCGCTTTCGAAAACCAATTGCCGTGGAGGCACCATATTCGAAGCGGTTCCAAAATCGACGCACTCAATAATGTTCGAGTACCTATATTCAATAATTATTTTTGAAATGTTGCTTCTGCATATATTAGTTTCAGTGCTCAATGGATGATGGTGTAACAAGGTTTAAAAAAATATCTACGGAATTGATAAAAATATTGTGCTCAGAAAACGAAGCTCTATCAGATGATGTATAAAAATCGGTATATTTTTTGAAGTTAAACAACCCAATTACTTTAAGTACTTTTGATTGCATTTTAACTTCAACGCACCGGTTCTTTGTATTGCGTGCCCCTCGGGTTAATTCGCCTCCTCCACGTTCCGTCATCCATCTACACTCCACCGTAGATGGTACGCAACACCTTCCGTTCGAAAACACCAAGTTAGTCCTCCACGAGCATAGTCCAGGTCTCGTGGCCGTAGAGGACCACCGGTCTAATCAGCGTCTTGTAGATAGTCAACTTCGTGCGGCGGCGAATTTTATTCGACCGGAGCGTCCTTCGGAGTCCAAAGTAGGCACGATTTCCTGCCATAATGCGTCTTTGAATTTATCTGCTGGTATCATTTTCGGCGGTCACCAGTGAGCCCAACGTCGACCCCCTCGATTTCGTCACTATCAATCTGAACGCGGGGTGGGAGGCTAACATTGTATTCCCTAGAACCTCTTCCTCTAATTTATTTCTTCTTCGATGCGTTGATGACAAGTCCAATCTGCCTAGCTTCAGTCTTCGTTTCCGCCATCGTCTCAAAGTTCCATGTCATGATGTAGATGTCATAAGCGAAGCCAAGAATCTGAAAGGACTTCCTGAAGATCGTGCCACTCGTGTTTATCCAAACTCTTCTGATCACACCTTCTAACACGATGTTAAATAGCAGACACGAAAGTCCACCTTGCCGTAACCCCCTTCGAGATTCAAAGGGACTCGAGAGTGTTCCCGATACTCGAACCACGGATCAAACAATGCACATCACTCAATCCATCGTCGCCTTGACCAACGGCGTCAGTTTATCCGGAAATCCGTACGCTAAGGTGGTGACTTTTGCTAATGTAATCGCTAAAATAGTTCCTGTTTACCAAAATTTATGAAATGCAGATTACGAATATGCATCTACCTAAATACCCTTAAGAACCCAATTGAATGTTTTTACCGTTGATCTTGTTTTCCATGCAGAGGACCAATGCTACCGACGCCAGGGAGGCAGCTCCCACACCTGGACCCTACCTATCGACCCATCAACTCATGAACCGGGGACCAACGGCTTTACTTCCCTTCCGAAGGACGGTGTGATCAGAGATGTTATGCCTCAGAACACCCTGGCGGCGCCGACTGGGATTAAACCCAGGCCTTTTGGGGTGAGAGGTAATCACTCTTACCACTTCACCACAGGCGCTGCTAATAATTGAGCAATAACAATGACAAAAACTGGTGTTTTTTATTCTTGGTCGGGATTTATTCTTTATGCTTTAAAAATTCAATAAGCGCGGTATAATTTGTCATCACTTTATTACGCATACCAATTTGAACATTACATAGCAAACGATATTGAAGATGCTGCAATTTAAATATTTTAATCCGATATATGGAGATGGCTGGCGATGGGCAAACTGCAGATATCTCGCGTTTTGTGACTCTTCATGTGTCGGTTCAGGTGATCTCGCTGACTGAACATGAACCCACAAATCAAACATGAGAATTTTTTGATTTTCATATGCACCACATCGATGTGCCGTTTCAGGGCCGCTGGTAGAAAAAAAAGAAGAAAATATTTAAATTAAATCCATAGTTTGAAATTTCAAATGAAACTCACTCTTGGAACTGAATACGGTGAGGCAGACGGTGCAGGAAATTACCTCCGTCCGCATGTGTTTCTCGTGCACGTTCTTGATGTGTTGTCTCACTTCATTTTTAGATGGTTTCTGTAAACCACACTGCGGACAGGAGAAGTCTTTGATTCCTTGATGGCGTTTCGTGTGGACATGCAATTTGTTTCTCGTAGGGAATTTTTTGTTACAGATACTGCAAACGAATGGCATCTCCTCGGGATTGTGGGTATATTTATGTCGCTTAAGAGCCCCGTTTGTGGTATAGGATTTTCCGCAGAGGTCACAGATGAATGGAATCGGCTCCGGGATTTCGTAGTTCGGATCATGAACGCGCAATCGATGTCTTTTGACCCCTTCTTTGGTGGCGAACACTGCATCACATTCCGGGTAGCCACACGGTAGGCTAATTTTGGTATCGGTATGCTTTTGAATGTGATGAGTTTTTATATTTCGATACGTGATGAAGCTCTTTCCACAGAGCTTACACAAAAACGGCTTCAGACCGTCATGAACGCGTAGGTGAGCCTCCAGACGATGCTCGAAGAAAAACTTCTTAGGACATCGAGGACAGTTGATGAATTTCATCGGTGGCTTCTTGTTCGGATCCACTGGATGTATTCTAGGTCTACCTTTCGGCTTTGGAGGACCACCACGGTTTCTGATTCTCTTTTTTGAGACTTTCTTTGTAGTCTTTTTGTTGGTTTCCTAAAATGAGTACAGTTGTAGGATGTTCCAGATCAGTTACTATGGAGTGACGTTTGAACACTACCGCCATCTGTGGAGTGTAGTGCTCAACAGATGGTGATAGTGTTTTATGTCTGTTTGTCTGTGCTCCAACTATAACACTTGTGCATTGCTACCATCTGTTAGAAGTACAGTATTTGTGGCATGTTGCAGGCCGCTCACAAACTACGTAAACAGTTTTTGAGAGGTTTTAGATCCCTGCGTTCCAATACACATAGACCGTGGACTTTTGTCTACCCTCATCTCCCCTAAACTGTCTAAGTGATGTGTGGATAAACCTTGTAATTATTTACAAGAAAAATGTCACCACGATAGCCCTGTAACGTGTTATATCGTCTTAATCTGAACATAGGATTATGCTTTTTTTAAACTAATATTTATCGGTAGAGTTTGCTCTATGCTATCCTGACTGCTTTTGGGAGGGATCTTTCTTGTATGGAGTCTAATAATTGGTTTAACAATCTAAGTAAAATTAAATATTAAACTAACCGGTTCAATTTCTGTGATTTCGTATTCACTACCATCATCATCGCCACTACCAACGCCAATACCATCATCATCATCATCATCGCCATCATCATCATCATCATCGTCCTCCCCATCATCATCATCATCATCTTCCGAACTTCCATCTTTTTGCTTATCTCCATCATTGTTTTCAGCAGCAACCGCTGTGGATGCATTCCCGGAAATCGCCGAAGGTTCCTCTATGAGCTCAACTTTCACTGCAACCGGCACAGGTGAATCCTCTTGCCAAACTTCTACTTTCTGCAAAAGAAAACCATATTCCATTCATCACCCCTTGCCCAACAACACCAACCAGATGCCATCCTTACCATATCCTGCAGTTTCTGATATACCTCCAGGCATTTTTTCCTAAATCGACCGAAATGGTTCAGATCCACAATGCAACCGCTGCAGAACAGCAGCCGACCGGGATCGACAATCTCGACCAGCTGAAAAGTCGAAAGTTTCACGGGAACCCTCTTGAAAACTGCGGCATATAAAAACACAAACCTGAATTCCCGTCAGCTTGTAGTAGATATCGGTGAGTTGGTCGTTCTTGTCACGCTCATCAGGGCTGGCGGAGCCACTCTCACCACAAGCTCGGCACATTTCCATGATTGGCAAATTTTTCGCAACTCAGGCGTCTGATTTAGTTACTTTCAATTGTAAATTGACCCTTTTACAACAAATTTAATGTGTTTTCAACTCTGAACAAAATAAAGTAGAGCTAGAGGTAAACAAGAGTTACAGAAAGCAACGCTACAAACTATACACGCTAAATATGAATGACATTAGGTGGGGAGTGTCAATATTATTTTGTATGCGAATTTGTTATTTTTTTAGTGTGTTACTAACACGGTAAGAAAAAAGTACCCAAAATTGAGTTCCTTTCACTCATCACGTGGCTTCCGTGGGGCTAGGTAAAATTAAGTTAAAGAAGAAAACTCAATTTTGAGTAATCCTGATCGTTGACCAAGTTGACAAAAAAATAATAAAACGGAGCAGACTGGAACCGAACCATGGACGTTGCGATTACCGGGCCCGTGTGTTGACCACTCGTCTATCAACGCTTGTAAAACTGAAATGGTTAAAGGCGCATAAGAGCAACCTTAATGAAAATAAACTTATATTTGAGTTCATTTATTATTACTCAATAGTTGAGTAAATTTTAACCAACGCCGCTTTTCTGATTCACTCAACGGCGGACCTCAAATGATAGAACCCAACGTTGAGTTTTTTTAAACTTAATTTTGAGTATTTTTTTCTTGCCGTGAAATGTCAGTTTTAGCTTTTTTATACAGTCAGCGTTGCCATTTTTTTTCCATTTAAATGATCTTTATTTCTTGTGATTGTGTGGTTTACATGTATGATTTTTTTTTAAGTTACACAGATGCGTCTTTTCAACTTTAGTACATTTGAGATTTTAATTATTATTTACAGTTCCTACACAGCAAAAAAAGTTGTTGAATATTACATCGAAACTGCTGCAACCAGGTCAATCAATCGGTTGTGTAATATCACATTGTACGATGTACATCGATTCTGCGAACAAAATTACATCCATTGATGTAATATTGTATCTGCTTTTTGCTATTACATCATTATTTCATACATCAGCTTGAATTACGTTGATCGATATTACATTTTTTTTTGCTGTGTAGTCCTATCAGGTCTATTTTAAAGTATGACCACCTTGGTGGGATTGGTTTCATTTGAATTGGAAAAAGGAGACTACTTATAACTACTATTTACAACTACAACTAACCTACAACTACTATGTACACCTAACCTACTATATACAAATTGCTTATCAAAGCATGTTCTGATAAATTACATTTTTGTGCAAATTTAGTCTTAATTTCGTTAATTTTGGAATCTATTTTGGCAATGCCTGCCTCTTCATGTAAATTTGTTATTCTAGTGTCGAAAGGACGATCAAGAACCATCCTCAGCACTCTATTCTGAGCGACCTGAATTTTGTTCCTGTGAGTCTGTGCACATGATTCCCACACCGGAGCTGCGTAGAGGATCGCAGAGGTGCTACGATTTGTTTGTAGACGGCCAGTTTGTTCACCCTTGAGAGGCGGGATCTGCGGCAAATCAGCGGATACAGACACCTAATCAAGGCGGAACACTTGACTACGGTTTTCTCCACATGCGAGCGGAATAGGAGCTTTTCGTCAAACAACATCCCGAGATAGGTTACTTCGGCGGACCACTCAACCCTTGTGCCATCCATGATTATAGTACAAGAGGGAGCCGGTTTTAGTTTGGGTGCTTGCCGATGGAGGAACATGATTGTTTGTGTTTTGGAAGCATTGATTTTGATTTTCCATGTGGTGGCATAATCAGCAAAGGCGTTAAGGCTTCGTTGAAGTTTGTTCGTTATTTCGCGAGGCATCCTTCCTTTGACGGCTATTGCGGTATCATCTGCGAACAGGAAAAACACGCAACCGTCTCCAAGGGGAGGAATGTCGGAAGTGTAAATGCTGTAAAGCAAGGGGGCCAGCAGACTGCCTTGCGGGACTCCTGCTGGGATGGAAAATGTGTCGGAAAGACAACCATTCAACGATACCTTAAACGACCTTTGCTGGAGGTTGCTACGGGTGATTTTAACCAGATGTAATGGAAAGTTGAAGTTACAAAGCTTGTATACAAGCCCATTGTGCCAGACATTATGAAACGCTTTCTCAACGTCTAACAAGGCCATGGCTGTGGACTTGGATACAGCTTTGTTACTTCGGATGTTATTCATCACCCGCACTAGCTGGTGATTGGTGGAGTGCAGTCAGCGTTGCCACCGATGTATCGGTATTTGTAGCGATTTTCGATCTTATTTATTTATATCGAGCATCACTTTTCAAAAGGACGTATGCATCGTTTGATAGGAAATATTCAGCCAGACGCTGGTTAACTGTTGAGCTTATAATTATAATTAAGTTTGCGTATGAAAAGTGAAATTGGACAGGGAATTAGATTATTATTCACCAGCTGTATTCTCGTTATGTTCTCACGAAATATTAGCTCCAGCACAACGAAACACATCTACACAGACTCTGTACCAAAAATCAAGGCGTTCCCGGTGTAATTTTTCAAGATACTAAAATTTGTGAGAGCTTTTTTTTTTTTTTTTTTTTTTTCCTTTGGTTTGTTTTTTCCGTCGATCTTGCACCAATGCTACCGACGTGCCAGGAAGGCAGCTCCCACACCTGGACCCTACACCTATCGACTCATCAACTCATGAACCGGGGACCAACGGCTTTACTTCCCATCCGAAGGAAGGCGTGATCAGAGATGTTATGCCTCAGAACATCCCGGCGGCGCCGACTGGGATTGAACCCAGGCCTACTGGGGTGAGAGGTAATCACGCTTACCACTACACCACCGGCGCCGTTGTGTGAGAGCTTTAAAAAGAGATATTTCACTCATACATGGTAGAAAGCAACAATCGCAGATTGAATAATTTTGTGCAACGCTCTGTAGAATATACCCTCCAATGTGGTATATTTGGTTTCACTTAAAGTTGTCAAAAATTGATTCTTCAAACACTTCCATTGAATAGCGATACTACCGATACGGTAAAAAAAAGTATTCATTTTACCGTGATGCTGAAGCAGACGACAGTCGCTCAAATTAATAGTACGTTCAGACTACAGAGTTATAACATGTTATAGCGCTATCTTGATGGTGGTTTCTGTGTTGCAATTATTTGACAACCGTTATAACATGTTATAACTCTCCAGTCTGGACAGCGTTTAAAACGCTGTCCAGACTGGAGAGTTATAACATGTTATAACGGTTGTCAAATAATTGCAACACAGAAACCACCATCAAGATAGCGCTATAACATGTTATAACTCTGTAGTCTGAACGTACTATAAAAGTCACTTGAAGTAAACACAAAATTGCTGGTTGCCAAACCTTGCAGAAAAAGAAATTAGTAAGGCTGTGCAACCAGATTTACTTTTATTCTCTCCGCGCGTCTCTTATATAACATCGTCTCTATGGTTTTCACATGCGTTAGATCAAATACACCTGTTGTTTTGAGGTGAAGATACGTCGGTAACTCGAAAATAATTGAGGATACTGTCTGTTACGCTGGGAATATGTGACTCATCTCATTGCTGCATCCTCGGCTGCATCCGAGGCTACATATAAAAAAATATTTATTATATATCTAGATAGAGCTGGAATTAGAGCGTAACAGTTTTTGTAAACAATGACTTCTCTTAATGATTTCTAGAACGTCAAAGCTCGCTCACGCAAATCAACATCACCATCGGGTAGGGGAAGACTTACGCTTCCCGATGGTTATATTGGTTTGCATGAGCGTGCCTTGAATTCCTAGAAATCATCGAGAGAAGTCATTGTTTACAATAGCTGTTACGCCCTAATTCCAGCTGATAGATTCCATTGTATTATCACTTAAAAACTATGACTGCGATATGGAATGATTTCTATCGTAATTTCACATACTTCGTACTTGATAACACTTTGCAAAATCATATAAGTTTGCACTATGAGAAAATTCAGTAAAATATACCTGTTTTTATGATGAATATTGCTCACTAAAAGATATATCTTATAAGATAATTTTGTCGCTCCCAATAAAATACATTTTACATGATTGTTCTTCATAAATTATTGAAACAATTTTCAACGATGTTATCGTACACTCATTAAAATGATTAGTCGAACTAAATATAACTAACAACAATGATACCACAAACGAAGTGACAGACGACTAACTGGCGAAGAAATCCATTTAAATAATGTGGTTCACTGTAATAGAATTTTCTTGGAAGCTTGTGCCATCATCCACCAGATGGGCTAGTTTTTTTGTTTTGATTTGAACAAAGTTGATTTTGTGTACAATGATTCTTTGACAGTGTGCAAAGAGTGCGCATCATTTTGTCATTTTTTTATGCATTTCAGTTTTGAGTAGAGTGAAACAGATAGAACCAAAACATTCTAGTACATTTGGTGAAAATGCTAGTTCAATCTAGTAGTAGTGTTGCCATGTGCTACAATCCAGTAGTAGTGGTGTTGCCATGTGGTACACTGAAAAATTGAAATAGCACTTTAGTCACCAAAGTTTTCGAGCCGCTCCGTCTGTCACTTCGTTTGTGATGATACTGTATTGAATAATCTAATCCTTGTTTGTTATTGTTCCTTAAGATAAGGGGTTCCGGAAAAAAATGATTCTACTGCAATATTTACTTTGCTAAGATTCTAATTGTAAGCCTTCTACACACACTTAGAAATTATCGCCGACTTCGGTAATTTTTACCGAAATCTGAACAGCTAAACTGTTCGGTAAAAGCTACTTTGAAACTAAATCTCTACTAAAATGACAAGATTTATCATTTAAACAAGGTTGAACATGTTTTGAAACTATTCTCAAATTCAATTGCCTTTAAAATGAAGGTCAAAGTTTTACCGAATGTTCAGTTGTTCTGATTTCGGTAAAATTTACCGAACACGGAAACAAAATCTTAGTGTACACGGCTAATTCAGATTCCAGCACTAGTACTCGAACTTCATGAACCTGTTCATTGAACTCATATAATGTAGTCGTGTTTTATTGCACACAGAAGTATTAAGAAAGATTTGAATACACGACATGTCGGGAGAGCTGTTCTTACTTCATGCTAATTGAACGAGCTCAATCTTGAAGTCAGCCGTGGCCCAGTGCAAAGCAACAGTTCTTGATCGAATCCCCAATCAGCTACAATAAATAAAAAGACACAACTGTGAAAGCTCCTACTGCCTGATGTTTATTTTTCGATTTATTTTTAGAAATTTATTAAATATATGTGTCAAAAGAAGAAGTAAATTTCATGTGATTTTCACATAAACTTTACTTCGATTGATTTATGACACATACATATATTATATTGTGGTGAAAAGTAAAGCTTATGCTTATGGGTTTCAAATCCCTTTCAGTTAATTATTATAATTTGACCGATTTTCAATTATCATATGACGATCATATAAAAGTTACCAAATTATCAGCATTGTAAATGTATCAGATATTCATATAGAATTTAGCTGACACATTTTCATTGGATTATCTTATAGCGCAAATTTATTAGACTTCCACATAACAGGAATGTGTCAGTGTAGATATATGTTTTTTAAACATACCTACACTAAGAAAAATTCAATGCTATGGCTAATTTGTATGTATCCCACATGAATTTCTGCAATGTGATAAACGAATGATATAAAGTATGACAGATAAAATGAGGGGTTCGTGGATTTTCCTATGTTTCGAGGGGTGCATCGATTAGCTTGGGACCGAAGAGCGTACCAGAGCTGAGCCAAAAAGTTGAGCACGTTTCTTCGGGACCTTCTGGTCTTAGAGTTACCTCTATGCTATGACCATAGAGGTAACTCGCCAATAGGCTAGTCAAGTAGTGAGCCAATTTAAATTCGTTAGTTTCCACCGATTGCTATAACTCTGTAGTCTGAACGTACTATTACACATTTTATGAATAATCAACCGATTAATCAACAATAGAAAAATTGCCTTAAGGTATAAGGAAATTTCTAAAAAACAAAAATAATGTTTTATTTCAAAGTTCAAGTGGTAGTAAACGTCATTTTAACTGCTCGAATTAAGTGGTTAAATGGAACACAGCCTTAAGTCTCATGCATTCCTGCGAAATCTTAACTATTTTTTTTTTTTTTCGTTTTCATATACCACTACATAAACATTGTAGTGAATATTATACCTGGTGCTTTAATATACGTTGGATGATGATGACATCAGTCTTTTAATCATGACGACGATGATGACTGGCTCTTTAAAGGTTAATTATTTTTTGTTTTGATATGGGATGATGGGATCGGACACCATCCGTTAATAAGCTGGATCTAAAAAAAAATTCTAAATGTGTGGATTTTGCACATCAGCAACGTTCACTCCCAGTGATTTTCTAATTTGTAATTTATTGCTAATATAATGAAAACCTCTCAGTTTTAGAACAGAAACATTAATTTCTTAGAAGTTTAAAATCCTCAAAATGTCCACTTCGATAAATTCGGAAGATTTAGAATTTATTGAAGACGAACTGCACTTTGACGACAAGGTAAGACTGATTTTATCGAGCATTCGAGTTGACATGACCTGCCACCTTTCTAGGTTTCGCTACTTTTCCTACTGTATGGACACCGCAATCCAAAGTATCTCCTTCAAATTCTGACCGTGGCCATCCGAGCACCCGACGCGAAAACTCAGTTCCTCTCGGAATGGGCGAACCTTGTATCAGCGAAAGACGGCGATCGATGGCAGCCGGAACTGCTGGAAGCGCTCGCTATAGTGCAAGCCAATTTGTGCCTTCTGAAGTGCGGCTTCGATGAGGAAGAACTTCGGGGTCAGTTTCTACCGCACGTTCCAGAACTGGCCACGCATGTTCATCCGATTTTAAAGGGATTGCTGCTGTTATGCGAGAAAATCGATTTCGAGACGGGCCGAAAGCTGACCGAATATCTCAAGCAGAATCATGATCCGTTGGTGGTGCAGCATAATTGGTTGGAGATGGTTCTGTTGGAGCTGATTGGGCAGGGATTGGTGACGTTGGGATCCAAGGCGCCAGGCATGGAATGTGATTTGGGGAATTTGATTGCTGCGTTCAAAGGATTGGAATTGGAAGGGTTGAGGGATTTTTGTAAGAATATAGAAAGTAGCTTCAATCGGGATTTTCAATTGGAGAAGAATCAGTCGGATGATGCCAGAAGTAGCTTGATTTCGGAAGTGAAAGGGAAGCCAGTCGAAAGTATAGATCAGTTGGAAAGGTATATCATTACAAGAAATAATGCGGGTTTGATTCTGATTGTTAACCAGTTTAAGTTCTATCGGGAAACTAACCCGGAACTGATTGAACTGCTTCCGTCGGAGCCACTGAAGAACCGACGAGGAACAGAGGTCGACAAGCTGGCTATCCTGAATCTGTTTACGGACTTTGGATATGAACCGATTGTGGTAGAGAACATTCCCCACTTGGAGATACTAAAACAGGTGGAAAAAGCGGTGGATCAGGTCAAACAAAGCCACTGTTCGTTGGTGGTTTGCCTTCTGTCGCACGGCCAGGAGGGAAAGGTTTATGGAAGCAATAGCATTCCGCTTAATGTTAAAGCCATCGAGCGGAAGATGGCTTCCGGGAAGATGACCGGCAAGCCGAAGCTTCTGTTCGTGCAAGCTTGCCAAGGATCCGGACTGCAGACCGCTGTGGATGTGGTTCCTCGGTTGGAGCACGATGGACCGTCATCCGAAACGACGGCTTCGGTATTTGTGGACTTTCTGGTGGCTTGGTCGACCGTACCGGGGTTCGCTTCCATTCGACATATCGAGAAGGGATCCTGGTTCATTCAGGAACTGTGCTTGAAGATGAAGCAACTACACAAACGGTGAGTTTGAGATTTAGTTGTTTTGAAATCCTATTTCAGAGATTACATCTTTGCTTACTCTACAACCAGGGACCACCTGATGGACATTCTAACGGCTGTGATAAACGATGTTTCGGCGAAGCGTGGCTACGAAAACGAATGCATGGTCCCAATTATCTACAGTACCCTACGCAAAAAGCTGTACTTTGAACCTTTGCAAGTTGCCAATTGATGGTGATATGACTACAAAACTAAAATCCACACCAGTTGCATTTTTTTTCTTTATCACTTCCTTCCAAGACATTTGTACAACCGTCCAGAACTGATTTGCAAAATCCCAAGGAAATACTTCTGGCAGACCCTCACGTTTTTGTGCTCGCTCGGGATGAAGTACTGAAACGACACAGTCCTCTCCGGACGAGGGTTACTTTCATCCCTCGGGCGGTGTCGATTAACTTCCACTCCCTTAACCTGATCCGAGAGCAGAGCATTCTGCTTATGCCAGTTACCCAGGTTCCAAAATGAGTCGAAAAACTGCTCCAAAATCGCATCTGATTCAAACTTTGTCCGGCACTTTCTCGGACAACCGCATTCGAATTGCTGCTGGAAAGTCTTCCCGTCGACAAGCACGTTATCCTTTCGGACGTACGCTTTGCCGTAGTTTCGATTGTTCTTCCGGACATTACTCACCCAACACTCTTCTTGTTTACGCTTCTTTGAGACCGGTTTAGATTGAGTAGTTTCCTTAGTACTGCTTGGCGCAATAGAACTGGTCGATTCTTTTTCGCCAAAAAACGCCGCCTGATAGACACCGTTCGACACTGCCGGTTCCTTTTTATGTACATTGTTCATGTGGGACATCAGCTCGCCCTTGGTCACTTTCGCCACCCCACAGTACGGACAGACATGACTACGGATGCCTTCGTGACGCATCATGTGCCGTTTAAGTTTGTATGGGATGGCGAATCGCAGGCAGCAAATTTCGCAAATGTAAGGCTTCTCCTGCGGTTCATGAGACGCAAATTTGTGTCTGGTAAGCTTCTGCTTACTGCCAAACGAGTCGCCACAATGTTCACAAATGTACACCCTTGGTTTCGGTCCGGTGTAGTTGGGATCGTGAGTTCGTGTTTTGTGGTGCCTCAGTGCTTGATAGCTCCCGAATTGCTGGCCACAACCTGGTTGATCGCAAGTCAGTGTTCTCCGCTCGGTATGTTTTTCAACGTGGTGCATTTTCATGACCAATAGAGTGGCAAACTCCTGCTTGCAAATCTCGCAGTAGAACGGCGCCAGACCGGCGTGGGCTCGTATGTGAGCAATCAACAATAACCTATCCTGGAACACCTCTGGACATTTGTCGCAACTGTACTGAACCGGTTGAACCGACTTTTTCTTGCTACCATACTTGGCGCGTTCCTTTTTGGGCGTAACTATTTCTTCCAGCTCTTCTTCCGAAAGAAATTCATCCTTGACGCCTTCTTCGCTTGTAACGAACAGCATTGTCGTGAAAGGCTAAAACAATGAATATTTCTCGTACTAGCAGAATAATCCATTATCTAGCTACCTCAAACTTACCATTTCTGGAGGCTTTCTGTCGTCGTATTCGACTTCATCTTGGTCAGATGATGGTGCATTTTTCTCTTCCTGTAACGTCTGAAAATCGCTTTTTGGTTCCACTTTCTACCAGAATAGTAAACATTATTTTAACTTTCTCCACTAGACGAAATGCTAACTAGCCTTACCACTTGCTGCAATTCCCAGTGAACTTGACAGCACATATCCCGGAAGCGATCGAAATCGGTCAATTTCCCCACACAACCTTGGCACAGCTTTAGCAGATCTGGGTTTTCGTGCTCATGGAGCTACCCCAAGAAATGGAACCATAAAAGATAGGAATAATTCATATCAATTACTCAAAACAAACTAAATCCTAATACGAACCTGTACTGAAGTCAGTTCGAAGTAGGTTCGAGCATGATCTTGGAAATCATCGAATGGAACTTGATCGGACAGATGTTTTCGTCCGCAAGCCCGACACATCTGGGACATTTCCTAGTAATCACGGTTGGCGATTAAAATATTGGAACAGATCCAGTAGCTCAATAAGATAAGATTCTTTTCTGTATTTTGCGAATTTTGGCAAAACAAAACACTAACAAAACTATTGGACGCCGCATCAGCAACAAATCAAAATATTTTGAACATGTGAGTACCGTGAGTGCCCTTGCGATTAGAAAAGGCATCGGTCAAATAGATCGAAAAACATAGTTCATAGCTGGGCAGGGATGCCAGATATTTTTTTTTCAGAAGTCTGTATGAGTGTCAAAAATATGCCTGTATTTATCTGTACACTAGAAAAAATCGCCGGAAAAAAGTTTTCATGTAGTTTCCATTGGGAATTGCACATAATATTTTTCCATTAAAAAAACTAATGATATTTATCTAAATTTCACATAACATTCATGTGATCACATGAGTTCTATATGATAAATCACTTAAATTTCATTTGATTGATTTTGTGTGCAATTCCCAATTATGATATCACATGAAAGTTATGTGAAATTCTAATGAATATAAAAAGAGTTTACTTTATGGAGGACTCAGCAGATTTTGCCGTCTGTTTGGGTTGGTCAATGTCCAACCTGACGTTGCATCTGCATTCGAGGTTTGGTTCGGTCATTTCAAGACCAACAATTGAAATGGCCTCAACTACATTTTGTAAACAAACCTTGTAAGGCCATTTTCTCACAAACCGAAACCTACATTCGCAAACCTTAACCACAATCGGTTTCGCTTGGCGGACTTCGGTTCGCGAGAAAATGGTCTTACAAGGTTTGTTTACAAAATGGAGTTGAGGCCTTTTCTATTGTTGGTCTTGCTTTACTGCATTCAGTTTAGAACCACCGCAACAGGACAAGCAGTTCCTCAGTTCCATTCCTTTGTAGGAAGCATGAGTACTACATGCGAGAAGTTTTTAGTCAAGGGGTTGTCAACTTGAGTATTTTCGATTCATCTACCCGACATGAAAAGGTGTATTTTGATTTTTTTTTGTTATTTATGAATTTTTAAGTTTTGTGCATTTTGGTATTAAAGTGTATTCAATTCAAAATATATTTTTCTTGTATAAAGTATTTTTGATGTATTTTTAAGTATTTTTACTATGGTATTTAAGTTTCAACGTGTATGTACACATTTACGTATTTTTGTGTATTTCCCGAAGTGTGTATTTTTGTGTGTATACAACTCAGCTGATTAATGAAGTTGATCGCCCCTCGTTTTTAGTTTCCCTCGATTGAGCCTCTCCTCCCATGGTAGCGACGGTACAATTTTTGAAAAGCTTCTTTTTTACCGGAACATGTTTTGTTTATTAATTTTCAATACATGTTTGCATTCCAAAATAAATTAAATAAATATATTTCATACATTTCTTTGACAAAACTGGTTTTATTTTTATGAAAATTCAAAATTTAAAGCAAGATTTGAAGTGAAAACCAAGCACTGCCCAAAAGAACCGAATTTCGGTGGGTCGGTTTGTTTGACAGCGTTCGATAATTCAGTGCCAACATTTCAAAGGGGCGTAATTGCTTTTGTAAACAATGACTTTAGCCGTCAATTTCTCGCGAATGAAATCTTACCTCTCCAAAATAACAATGCTAGCTGGTAGAGGAAACATTCCTCTACCTGCGGTGTCATTATTTTCATGCATGAGCTTTTATTCGCGAGAAATCGACGGCTAAAGCCATTGTTTACAAATGCAATTACGCCCCTTTGAAATGTTGGCACTGAATTCTTGAGTGAACCGATGTTCGGTTATTTCAGCATAAATTTATTTTTCGCCTACCGATATTTTCGGTAACTTTGACAGATTGTGGATAAAAGAAGAACTAACGACAGCTCTGTTATTCTTCTTTGAACCGAACAGACTACCGAGCGTTCAGCAGATAAAAACTCGGTTGAAATCAAACCGAGTTCGGTATTATTTTCTAAGTGTGTATACAATTTCGTGAGCTGATTCAGCAAAACAATTTGAAACTTCGGAAGATTTTCAAGCTGTTTTCTAGCTCACTTGAAAAATAAAATCGGCTGAGTTCGCAGTACTCAGGTTAAAACAGCATTACTGTTAATCCGCCACTAAACCAGGGCAATACTAGTGCTAGTACATACTAACACGGTAATTTTTGATAGTTCAGAGATTCTGCGATTTACGGAGTTTTCAGCAAAAGCAAAAACTACTGGGTTGATTACTGAAAACTCAGCTGTTTAAAAAACCCAGTAAAATATTACCGCGTTCGGTAATCTTAACTCTGTGTGTAAATGAACAATATTGCTGCAACAGCTAAAGAAGATTGTACCAGGGGGTAAACGCTGAGTAGAAAGATTGATGACAATTCTGAAGATTTCCTGCAAAAAGATGAAGCGCGATGCAAGTAGATGTGAGAAATGAAAGCAGATTTTTCGAAGATTAATTCGCAAGTGTGAGATTTTTTGAGCATCTAGAATTGAGATTTAGACGTGCCGCCCGGGGGTAAGTCACTCTGCCGCCTTGTGTTAAACACATCAAAAACACTCTTCGACACACTCAAACAAACACCCTTCAACTAGGGGGGGGGGAGGTGACTATCAAATACGAACAATCGTCGCCTACCTCGCATAACTGGTTCCAAACGATAACATGCCATCCAAGCCATACACACTAATCGAGTCAGTTATGGAAAATCAATGAGCGTACACAGGTGAGGCCCAGTGAATTTGTCGTCTCTTTCGTTCTTCGGCTCGAAAACCATTTAACAAACGGGAGAATGAAAGAGATGGCAAATTCACTGCGCGTTACCTATTTACATATCGTCGATGGATGATCAGCGGATCAGTAGGCAAGCTTCACATTCGTATGGTGCCTTTTTTTGTATTAGCCAGCGCCGGTGGTGTAGTGGTAAGCGTGACTGCTTTCTCACCCCAATGGCTCTGGGTTCAATCCCAGCCGAGGTCGGTGAATGGTTGCGATATCTTACGCAGGTGTGGAAGCTGCCTTCCTGCACATTCGGTTACCGTAAATGGATGGCAATCGATGTACGTCGATGATTGGCACTGGAATGCGGAACAGAGACCGACGTTAAATAAAGGAATGAAGAAGAAGAAGTTTTTGTCTTTTTTTTCCTGAAGGAGAGATTTCCCTCCAGCAATCGATACGATTCCACAGAGAGCTGACCAGGACACGGAAGTAACACTGATTCAACATCAAGCTCAACATTAAAAAAACATACAATTTCAGCCTCTAACAAGAATATCTGTAACTGTATATTAGGATGGGTCATTATGATCAATTTTTCAGAACCTTTTTTTTTGGTTCCATTTGGGGTCCCAAACAACTGTGCTAAATTTAGGAACGATTGGTAGCAACCCGGCTTTCCGCATTGCGTTTGAAATTTGTATGGAAATTAGTATGGGAAAACCTACATTTTTGCATCTTTATTACTAGGTACCAAAATTTTGCACTTTTCGCGCATCTAAATACGTTAAAGTATAGCCTAGGAAGTACCTAACAACTGTATGGTGCTAGAATGCTCCTAAAAAAGTTATAGCTGTTCAAAGATCAATGTTTCGAATTAAATGCCAAAAATCCCTATTTCTGCAAACACTCCCGGTGTACCAATGAAAGTCAGACTCCCAAACTGAAATAATTTCGAAGTTGATTATTTGTTCGGTTTGGTATGTTCAGATGAATTATTCAAAAACAATTTTTCAATTTTGCTTTCCAGCCCTCACTTATATCAATGAAAGTAAAGATAAAGACTAAAATAACTTTGGAGCAGTGTTGGAAAAGTTCGCGATATTTCACGAAGTTCACCAAGGGAAAAGTTCGCGAGTCATAGTGAACTTTTCCATCACTGCTTCGGAGTTTCCCATCTCTCGAGTTGTTCGGATGGGTTATTCAAAAACATTTGCTCAATCTCATAAGAGCAGTTGTAAAGTGAGTACCCTTCCCTACGCTTTTGGTGCAATATACAATGTCAGATATATTCACACAAATGTCATTGGATTGTAATGATTATATTTCATTTAAATATATTCTACGATTTCTCAGGGTACTTTTTTCGATGCTGTTCTATCCCCTGAAGCAAATATTGCTGTTGAACTAGGTCTCGGGTGGATCTCTTGATAAGTCAGAAATTAGCTTCACCCCTCATATCGTTGCAACTCGTTGTATCGCATTGAAATAATCTATATCATTACCCCACTCGTTTGCCGGTTTTTGTATGAAGTCGGTCGAAATTTCTAAAAGGAATCAGCACTGTAAGAAATGACGTTTGACTTTTGAGCCCAACTGAAACGTAGCCCAACAAGCGAAATCTGACTGTACCTGTGTCTGAGACTGGTGAAGACAGTTTTCGTTTTCCCGTTTTATTTTTATTTTTGACGTACGACAACTTCTGTGTTTTCTATATGCGGGTGGCTCTAATGGCAGTTTAATGTTTCAAATAAAAGCTTTATATAGAATTTTAAAATTTTCCAACTGCTAATAATTCAAACAACATCTCCTTACTAACAAATGAACGGACAAGTGGATATTAAATAGTTACACTACAACAATTTTCGTTTTAAAAACTACTTATAGAGTAAGCCATCCCCCCCCCCCTCGCACCGCTCTCTAACTACGCTTATGAGATTGAGCAAACGTTTTTGAATAATTGATCTGAACATAGGGGAAATGACGGCTTCGGCATGACAGACTATTTTCGGCAACCCAAATTGAAACACTATTTTCACTGGATTTTCTTACGAAAACACTTCGCTGAATGCATACAAACGATTCTTTATGCTTTCAGCTTCAATTTGACTATATTTTTACCACTGAGAAAAAGCAATCTAGCAAGGTTTTCTTGAAATGCAACACACACACTACAAATTGTAGCTGATTTCGAGTTGCCGATAATAGAACAGCAGATTTACATGCAGTTCAAATGGAACAGTTGCCGAAGAAAAACTGGTTGCCGACAATACTCGCTCTCACTAGAGAAGATTGGAGCTTTGTAAAAGCGTTTCAAAACCGTTTTTGACAATTCTTTCGACTGAAATTGTTAGAGCAGCTGGCAGCAAAAGAATGAAAACAAACCAATACTGCATATGTGTGCGTTCCATAGAGAAAAAGGCTATAGAAAGAAGGTCGCTGCTTAGGTTGCCGAGAATACATAAATTCCCCTACCAATTCTTTTTTTTTTTTTTCGAGAGTTGACCAACTGCAGTCTTAATAGGCTAGAATCTCGGTTGGGCTCTCCATGCGATACACAATACTTTCAGACGACTCGAGCTATGGTGCTCACTAGGTCACTGCAGCTTTTAGGCTCGTATTGCGATCAACTGTGTGTATTAGATTACGACCATAAATCCGAAGAACCCCGAGATCTGGGCGCAATCGCCCCTGCAAACAAACACGTCAATCGTCGGCCTCCCGCGAACAAAAGAACAATCCTGCAAACAAACTATAACAAATCATAGAGGAACTATTCTTCTACCTGTTTGTGTTATTAGTTTTTCCAGACTGAGCCCCAATCCGCGAGAAACCGACAAATGACGTGCCCATCTACTAAAGCAACTACGCGCCAACCTCGAAGCTCTCCGGAAATATGTGATAAATCATGTAAATGTAAATGGAATACAGTAATGTCCCGATTTTGTCAACTCCCTTTTTTGAAAATGTTTTCCAATGTTCTACAAACCCATACCCTTTTTCAGTAATCTTCTTGAACCTATTGCACCAAAGTATACTTTAAATATCTCTCTTAACGAATGACGAATGAGAAAAATGTAGATTTATGATTATGTGAAATTATTGAAAGAAAAAAATCTGAAGCGCGGAGGGGCTGACAAAATCGGGTCATTACTGTATTTAAAATAAATAAATTCATTCTTACCTTTTTATGGTTATTCGATTATTAATTGCTATTATTACCTGCTTAGAGTTGGCTCCTTTAAAATACTGTGTAGAATTTACCTCATTATTCCTCAGTTCTATCGATTTGTGATAGAACCACGCTCAGCATATTATCCTGTAGTACGACTTGGGCATGCACCATGCAAGTAACTCATCTCTCGTCAAAATGATGGGATATGGGATGATGGTGAAGGGATATAGAAAACGAATAAAAGAACAGAGAGAAAGGTATTAGTATTGGTTACATTTACCCCCCCCCCACACACACACACACACACACACACACACACACACACACACACACAACGAAAAAGAAATATAGATGCACAGACAAACAGAAATAACACATTTAATATTTCTGTCCACAAAACATAGTCACTAAAACACTACCGCCATCTGTTCAGTATCATGTGATGGATAGTACGCTGAACAGATGGCGCTAGTGTGCAGACGTCAAACGCAAGGAAACCGACCGTGCGCGCCACAGGTGGTGGCATCACCAACCAAAAACACTCAAATTGACCGTCAAATGCGTATTCGATTAACAACCTGCGAGTGTTATGTCTGTTTGTCTGTGATAGATGGGTTATTAGGAAAGTACAACTACATTATAACTATTAGTGCAATGGATGAACGTTAGTTTCGGGGTCATGTTAGTGTTATAGTTTTGTTAGTATTGACCCGTATTCAGCCCTGTCGGCCCCTCGAACACTAGTCGCAGGCAGTTGTTTTTAGGACATGCGACACTGTCACTGCTACTATGTTAGAGGTATGACCCGTCAAGTTTCGAAGTGCAAAAAAAACTGTTAGATCTTTCTTATAAATTAACTTTACACTCAAAGCAAACTATTTACCTTAGCATTACAAAAGCGAATTTAAAATTACTATTTTATTTTATGCTAATATTAAAATGATGATAAAACTACAATTTACGGCTCCGTGAAATTAACTCGCATGAACCTTCCAAATCAATGAACTGGAGAAAAACTACAATTTTATCAAATTCTAAAAAAAAAATCATAGCGACACTTGACAAATCATCATCAAGCCCCTCATCCTTGGACAGGGAATTGATCTGAACATACCAATTCGATAAGATAAGAAACTCCGAAGTTATTTCAGTTTGAAACTTCACTTCTATTGATATCAGTGATGGGGCGGGCGGGGTATATTATTACCCCCCTCCAACTACACATATGAGATAGAGCATTTTTTTAATGATTCATTTGAACATACCACATCGGCAAGATAAGAAACTCCGATAATATTTCAGTTTGGAATCTGACTCCCATTGGTACACCGGCAGTGTTGGCAGAAAAAGGGATTTTTGGTGTTTAATTCAAATCATAAATATATGAATAATAATAATTTTTTAGCTACATTATAGCTTCGTACTTCCTTTGGCAAAGTTGTTAGGCACTTCCTGGCCTATATTTGTACATACTTAGTACCATGGTTCATGCAAAATTGTTGTCTCTAGGGATAAAAATGCAAAAAAGTTGATTTTCCCATACTAATTTCCACACAAATTTTAAACGCAATGCAGAAAGCCGAGTTACAACCAATCGTCCACAAATTTTGCACAGTTTTTTGGAACTCCAAATGGAACCAAAAAAGGGTTGTTCTCGATTGTTGAGGTAAAGTTTTCGCTTTTCCATATAACGATGACCCACTCTACTATAATGAACGAAGGAGCGGATAATAATTATCAAGTCAATTATGAATGAAGCAACTGCACAAACGGTGAGTTTGAGATTTAGGTAGTTTTTTTGAAATCCTATTTTAGAGATTACATCTTTGCTTACTCTACAACCAGGGACCACCTGATGGACATTCTAACGGCTGTGATAAACGATGTTTCGGCGAAGCGTGGCTACGAAAACGAATGCATGGTCCCAATTATCTACAGTACCCTACGCAAAAAGCTGTACTTTGAACCTTTGCAAGTTGCCAATTGATGGTGATATGACTACAAAACTAAAATCCACACCAGTTGCATTTTATTCTTTATCACTTCCTTCCAAGACATTTGTACAACCGTCCAGAACTGATTTGCAAAATCCCAAGGAAATACTTTTGGCAGACCCTCACGTTTTCGTGCTCGCTCGGGATGAAGTACTGAAACGAAACAGTCCTCTCCGGACGAGGGTTACTTTCATCCCTCGGGCGGTGTCGATTAACTTCCACTCCCTTAACCTGATCCGAGAGCAGAGCATTCTGCTTATGCCAGTTACCCAGGTTCCAAAATGAGTCGAAAAACTGCTCCAAAATCGCATCTGATTCAAACTTTGTCCGGCACTTTCTCGGACAACCGCATTCGAATTGCTGCTGGAAAGTCTTCCCGTCGACAAGCACGTTATCCTTTCGGACGTACGCTTTGCCGTAGTTTCGGTTGTTCTTCCGGACATTACGCACCCAACCCTCTTCTTGTTTACGCTTCTTGGAGACCGGTTTAGATTGAGTAGTTTCCTTACTACTGCTTGGCGCAATAGAACTGGTCGATTCTGTTTCGCCACAAAACGCCGCCTGATAGACACCGTTCGACACTGCCGGTTCCTTTTTATGGACATTGTTCATGTGGGACATCAGCTCGCCCTTGGTTACTTTCGCCACGCCACAGTACGGACAGACATGGCTACGGATGCCTTCGTGACGCATCATGTGCCGTTTAAGTTTGTATGGGATGGTGAATCGCAGGCAGCAAATTTCGCAAATGTAAGGCTTGTCCTGCGGTTCATGAGACGCAAATTTGTGTCTGGTAAGCTTCTGCTTACTGCCAAACGAGTCGCCACAATGTTCACAAATGTACACCCTTGGTTTCGGTCCGGTGTAGTTGGGATCGTGAGTTCGTGTTTTGTGGTGCCTCAGTGCTTGATAGCTCCCGAATTGCTGGCCACAACCTGGTTGATCGCAAGTCAGTGTTCTCCGCTCGGTATGTTTTTCAACGTGGTGCATTTTCATGACCAATAGAGTGGCAAACTCCTGCTTGCAAATCTCGCAGTAGAACGGCGCCAGACCGGCGTGGGCTCGTATGTGAGCAATCAACAATAACCTATCCTGGAACACCTCCGGACATTTGTCGCAACTGTACTGAACCGGTTGAACCAACTTTTTCTTGCTACCATACTTGGCGCGTTCCTTTTTGGGCGTAACTATTTCTTCCAGCTCTTCTTCCGAAAGAAATTCATCCTTGACGCCTTCTTCGCTTGTAACGAACAGCATTGTCGTGAAAGGCTAAAACAATGAATATTTCTCGTACTAGCAAAATAATCCATTATCTAACTACCTAGTCAAACTTACCATTTCCGGAGGCTTTCTGTCGTCGTATTCGACTTCATCTTGGTCAGATGATGGTGCATTTTTCTCTTTCTGTAGCGTCTGAAAATCGCTTTTTGGTTCCACTTTCTACCCAGAATAGTAAACATTATTTTAACTTTCTCCACTAGACGAAATGCTAACTAGCCTTACCACTTGCTGTAGTTCCCAGTGTACTTGACAGCACATATCCCGGAAGCGATCGAAATCGGTCAATTTCCCCACACAACCTTGGCACAGCTTTAGCAGATCTGGATTTTCGTGCTCATGGAGCTACCCCAAGAAATGGAACCATAAAAGATAGGAATAATTCATATCAATTACTCAAAACAAACTAAATCCTAATACGAACCTGTACCGAAGTTAGTTCGAAGTATGTTTGAGCATGATCTTGGAAATCATTGAATGGAACTTGATCGGACGGATGTTTTCGTCCGCAAGCCCGACATATCTGGGACATTTCCTAGTAATCACGGTTGGCGATTAAAATATTGGTACAGATCCAGTAGCTCAATAAGATTTTTTTTCTGTATTTTGCGAATTTTGGCAAGACAAAACACTGACAAAACTATTGGACGCCGCATCAGCAACAAATCAAAATATTTTGAACATTTGAGTGCAGTGCACTCGCGATTAGAAAGGGTATCGATCAAATAGGTCGAAAACATAGTTCATATATGCATGGATTGGATGCGACACTCAAAAAATGTATATACCAACTCATCGACTGAGATTAATTGAGTCAGAGAATTTTCTTTCCATACGAAATTTACTCAGATTTGGAATAACCTGCAGTTACTCACAAGCTATGAGTAACTGCAGTTTCATTTTTTCATTTTCATTTTCAAGCACAGAAGGGGGTCATAGGGCCAAGTCACCAGCGAAAAATCGCTGTCCATACTGCACCAGCCCGCATAAACGCGAACCATAAATTGACCTTACCTAAAATGGTTAAAATTGTTTATAATCCCTGCTAAACTTCAACTGAAATGGTTATGGAACTTTACATGAACGTTTAATGATAAAGTTTTAACCTTAAGTATTATAGTTTTTTGGAAGTGGACCTTACAAATAATGGGTTGTTAAGAACCATTACCATTCAAAATTCTTTTTTTCTCCATACATTTTCGGAAAGAAAACTATATTAGAACCTTTTTACTTATGGTTTGAGAATTTTAATGGTTATGGTTATGATAGTCAGTAAGGTCCATGGATGATTTTGTATTGTCGGTCAACTTTACGTGGAATATATCACGAATAGGTTGCCTGTAAATTAATGATTACCAATTCGTGATACATAACCCTTTGCTTCAGTACCGTCAACCTCCATGTCCTTGGGGAGGGCACAAGCTATGAGTAACTGCAGTTTATTCCAAATCTGAGTAAATTTCGTATGGAAAGAAAATTCTCTGAGTCAATAAATCTCAGTCGCTGAGTTGGTATGATTGGCCGTGCACATATCTAATGGATGAAATCCATGTGATTTTCATATAGCTTTCCTGTGATCGCACAGCAGCAAATCCCGTTTTGCCAATTCATGAAAAAAATGTATAAAATTAATGTGATCGCATAAATCCGAAGAACTTTGAGATTTGGGCGTAATTGCTTTTGTAAATCGTCAATCGTCGATTTCTCACGAATAAAAGAACAATCTCACGAACAAACTGTAGGCCTTTTTAATAGAAACTAAACGATTGATTCAACCTCTGGTGGTGAATAGAAGAACGTCAGAAAGAGTGTTGTGAGCATAAATTTTTGCCTTGAGACATAGGAAGCGGAACACTTTTTTACTTTGTCTGATAAATTGATTCATCTGAGATGCTGCAAAACTTAATCTACAGTTGAAAAATTTAATTTTGTACCGTTTTTGAAAAGATCCTGCTGGTGTTCAGGAATTTTTTGTTGAGAAAAATGGAAAACTAGAAAAGTGCCTTAGTGTTTATGATCTTCCGGATTTCTTGTGTGTGAATAGTTAAGGTGCAAATCAGTTCAGATTTGTGGAAAATCGTACAATAAGACAATTACCGATGGAAATTGGCAAGATTTTGAATGAAAAATGCTGTTATTTGCGTTGGGGAAAATACTTATTCTGATGTAAACAAACGGTTTGGTTGACGTTTCTTCTCGAACTCGCGTGGCGCACTCTACGTTGGTGGTGCATTAAAAAGGCGTATACCATATGATAGAGGAACCATTCCTCTACCTGTTTGTGTTATTAGTTTTTTAGATTGAGCTTTAATCGCGAGAAATCGGCAAATGACGTGTTTGTTTACAAAAGCAATTACGCCCTAATCTCGAAGTTCTCCGGGAATGCTATGTGACATTTTGATGAATTCCATTAATTTTGATTATGGATGAAAATCATGTGCGTTACCAATGGAAGCTATATGAAAACTATTGTCACGCCCAAGGCTGAAAATCTCTCTAATAAAGCAAAAAAAAAACTATTGTCAGTGGATGTTAATCATACAAGGTCTGGAACAACAGGTAGCTTGCTGGTGTCAGAAGCAAAAATGAAGTAAACATATCTGAGCAAGCACAACATTCCATACTACGAATGGCAGACGTGTCGTCACAGAAAACAGCTGTTTCGTGTATAAAGATAAACCACAGACAAACAGACGTAACTCTTTGAAAACGTTTTTCTTGAAAACATCCCGCATAAACAATAACCATAAGATGCGCCTAACCACCAATTCGGGATATCATCCAAATTTTATGTGGTATGGTCGCACCATCTAAGATATCGTCAGTATATGGTACACGTTTATTAGGGATAGTATCTCAAAACATAGGACCTCAGTAACGACATCTCTCTGGCTTATCGCGGAAAACAAGCTTGCTAGCTAACTCGCAAACAATATTGCATAAAAGTTCTATAGAATGTATAGGAGCGTCAAAGTGATCCGATGACAGCGCTGCGGCGAGTAGTTCGCGGAACTGATAATATTTAAATCAACCGTTAAATGCGTGAACGAAGATACACAATGAAGTGTTACGTCTGTTTGTCTGTGGATAAACATTGCGATGAAATACGTACGCCATTAAACATTTCTAGAGTAACATTTGAAATGGGCCTATGTCCAAAACGTAAACGCCACTATTCAATTCATATTTAAGAAAATTGAAGTATTTTAGGCATTTATATTGTTCACAATAACAATAGTAACTGTATCTCAGCATACAAAATCCAAAATATGTGAAAACCTTTCAAAAATATATGAAAATCGATAACTATTTAATTTCATAAATTAATAAGCCTTTTTGTGAATCTTTCAATTGATAGGCCCTTTTTGTTAAGCCGTAGTGCATGTCATCCAAGGGGGGAAGGTGGCTGTCAAATACGAACAATCTTCGCCTACCTCGCATAACTGGTTCCAAACGTAAACAAGCCATAAGAAACCTACAGGGTTTGTTTACGTTTGGAACCAGTTTCATACAAGATGATCAGTAGGCTGATTTGACAGCACATCCCCCCCAGATGTCATCAGAAATGGTACGCCCTTTGCTAAGCCTTTTCACAACGTCAAATAAATTCAAAACAAATCATCGGCCCTGCCCTGGTTCGAAAATTTTCAATCATCCCGCCGTTTCGAACATCGAGTTATTTTTCGAGTGCAATCTTAAAATGCTTTTATTTTGCAATTGGAGCATTTTATTTAAATCTGGTTAATGCTACATTAGTAGAAAACTTGAGGACTACTCAATAGACATATGATATTATAGAAAAAAATATTTCTTTTCAGATTTTCAGGTGTATACATAGATTTCAGCTTTTCTACCACTGTAGCAGCAACCAAATTTAAATAAAATGCTCCATTTGCAAAATAAAAGCATTTTAAGATTGCATTCGTATACCTCCCCGTGGAAGATTTGAAAGTCATCATCACTTTCCGGATCCAGAGGCGAACCAGCCCAAGGCTGAAAACCTCCTTAATCAAGAAAACCTAACCTAACCTCATCACTTTCATAGTTCTTCTATTCTCCACGAGTGCCAACTTTGCCAATAGACTTCTCTGATGTTTATGAATTGCACAAAAGTATTAGTGCAGAACTTTGGGTGAATTCAAAGGTTTTCCTGTACTAATACTTATAATTTACCCCAAGTTCTGCACTAATACTTGCGCATTTTACAAACGTCAGAGAAGTCTATAAGCCGCAATGAGATAGATTACCGAGGGAAGCAATCGGTTAAGTTGTGTGAGTGAAACCCCTGTAAGATACAAGCAATTAGTGACGTCACTAATAGCGTTTACGTTGATTTGGTTTACTAATGCAACCATATTTCACGAGCTGCTTCACCTCATTGTATAAGCCGGGCCAGACTATAGTCGATATATTCATAGTCTGGCGGATAGAATCTCGGGAACCAATTGAGCTGTCAAATAGCGGAACCAATCGAGCAAATCATGACCAACAACTGAAAAGAGCACATCAACTAAAATTAGTAAACTAAAAAATCAACGTATACGCAATTAGTAACGTCACTAATTGCTTGTATCGTACCAATGAAGTACAGAGTAGATCGTGAAATATGGTTGTATTAGTAATCCAAAAAATCAACGTAAACGCAATAAGGCTGTCCACGAGACAGTTGCGATCAGTTGACTTTTTTGTTTACCAAGAACTTTTGACAGATCACAGTAGAACTGGCAGTTCGACAGTGAGCATGCATAAGGGCCTATACGCGATGATCGATTCTCTTCGTCGATTTTCTCTTTTGTTAATAACTCGCTAGATTTAACGTTTCTCGGTGCGTTTACTGTTGCTTTTGATAGCCAATACAACCTGTTACACAGCAAAAAAAAATGTAATATCGATCAACGTAATTCAAGCTGATGTATGAAATAATGATGTAATAGCAAAAAGCAGATACAATATTATATTCATGGATGTAATTTTGTTCGCAAAATCGATGTACATCGTACAATGTGATATTACACAACCGATGGATTCCCGCATAAACGCGAACCATCACATGACCTTACCGATAATGGTTATAAATTGTTTATAATCCCTGCTAAACTTCAACTGAAATGGTTATGCAACTTTACATGAACGTTTGTGTGATAAAGTTTTAACCTTATGTATTATGGTTTTTTGGAAGCGGACCTTACAAATAATGGGTTGTTAAGAACCATTACCATTCCAAATTCTTGTTTTCTCCATACATTTTCGAAAAGAGAACTATATTAGAACGTTTTTACTTATGGTTTGAGAACATTAATGGTTATGGTTATGGTAGTCAGTAAGGTCCATTAATGGTTTTGTATTATCACTCAACTTTACGTGAAATATATCGTGAATTGGTAATCAGTAATTTACAGGCAACCAATTCGCGATATATTCCACATAAAGTTGATCGATGTTACAAAACCATTCATGAACCTTACTGGTTACCATAACCATTACCATTAATGTTCTCAAACCATAAGTTAAAAGGTTTTAGTATAGTTTTCTTTCCGAAAATGTATGGAGAAAACAAGAATTTTGAATGGTAATGGTTCTTAACAACCCATTATTTGTAAGGTCCACTTCCAAAAAACTATAATACTCAAGGTTAAAACTTTATCATTAAACGTTCAAGTAAAGTTCCATAACCATTTCAGTTGAAGTTTAGCAGGGATTATAAACAATTTTAACCATTTTAGGTAAGGTCAATTTATGGTTCGCGCTTATGCGGGTTGACCTGGTTGCAGCAGTTTCGATGTAATATTCAACAACTTTTTTTTGCTGTGTACTACTCTGCATTGAACAAATTCTAGAAAATTGTTTCGCTTAGCTGTAGCAATGCAAAGAGAAAATCGATGAAGAGAATCGATCATCGCGTATTCGCCCTTATGCATGCTCACTGTCGAGTTCACTCTCATATGAATTTCTGCTTTGTTTATATTTACATTCAGCACCATTAACACCAGATCACTCACACACTCTTGATTTCTAGCTGTCAGTTCCACTGAGAAACGTCTCTTGCTGGGACGGGACTTGACAATCGGGTAGCGATTTCGAGCCAATTTGCTGTCAAATTCGAGCCAGTTGTTGATTGGTCGATTTGACAGTAGCAATCGTGGAATAAAAAGGATAGAGGGATCGCATCAATCTGACTGGCAGTGATGCCGGAACCAATGGTGACGTCAATGGCGTTGTTAATAGTTTATATTTGCGAAAGGAAAGTTGGAAAATAGGGTCCACGGCGTGTTTTAAGAGATGGATATTATTGTTTGTTTATGGTTGTTTTTATTGTGTTAAGCAAAAATGATGACAAGGTGCTAAACTGCGGTAGAAACTCCGAATCAAATTAAAATTAAAATAGAAAAATCATTTTGCAATCCTGGCATCATTGGTCAACTCCGTCAAACACCATGTACTAATTTTCGACGGACATTCATCAAAAACATTAAGAAGAGTGAGAAGCTGGATTGTCAAGTCCCGTCCCGGGTCTCTTGGATCACCTTATTAGTGACGTCACTAATTGCATGTATCGTACAGGGGTTTCACTCACACAACTTAACCGATTGCTTTACCTCGGTAATCCAATTCATTGGGGCCAGACCTTGTATAATTTACATCGGGTTGCACAAACGTCAAAATGCGATGTTTGTTTACTCTTCGGGTTCCATCGTTGTTTACATAGATCCGAGAAATAAAAAAAAATTTGCCCGATCACTATTTTTTTTTAGGATTCAGGATTTTAAATAAATCATTCCAACATGGCCATACGGATTTGCCGCGTCTGTGGTGTAAGTTTGTCCATCGATGCCGACTGCGAAGCGCTAGAAGACTACCTTCAAATGTATTCACAACTTACGGCGATCAAGGTGAGTCCTCAGAAGGTTCAAAAGGATATAAAGATATTTCTATTTCACTACAACGAAATACTTCCAGCTGGATGACGAGAAGGACCTTCATGAGTTGAAAGTATGCAACGTTTGCATAGGAAAACTTCAGGATTTCGATCGGTTCCGAAACGTATGCCTTCAGGTTCACTGGCGACTGCTTAATGTGGTAAGTTGTTTAACATAATGCAATCATATCAAGCATCTGATTTTGAATACATGTTTAAATTCGCAGAAATTGGAACAGCCTGAGAATGATAGTGATCAGGATATAACACAAGTCGTTAAATGTGAACCGGGACAGATGGATGACTCACATAAATCCGATTCCAGTGGTATGTCCGACGACGACAATGAAGACGATGATGAAGATGACAACAAGCCGCTGCAAGGGCTGGTGGTTAAATGTAAAGTCAATTCAGATGACGAGAGCGATGAAGCAAAGCCAAAGAAGCAGCGTGCGAAGTATGGTAGCTTGAAAAATCAGAAATCGAAAACCCGCATCCCTGTCTACAGCTGCGACCAGTGTCCGAGGAAGTTCAGGGTCATGCTGAGACTCAACGCTCATAAAAGGACCCACGATGGGCTGAAACCGTTCGAGTGCGAGCTTTGCGGAAAGGATTTCGCCAAGTGGAACAACCTTAAAACGCATCACATCCAGAAGCATACGGAAAGTAAAATTTCAATACCGTGTGAGTTTTCCGGCTGTGGTCAGACGTTCGCTACCCGTCAGGGACTGAAGAGGCACTGGGTGCGCACTCACGATCCCAACTATGTGGTACCGGAGACGACTGTGTTTATTTGCGACACCTGCGGTAAGACGTTCACCACCAACGGGGCACTGAAGAAGCACAAGTTCATTCACACGCCGAACGAGATGCCGTTCATTTGCGGAACCTGTGGGAAGAAGTTTCCGACTTCGCATAAGTTGAAGGAACATACGATGCGGCACGAGGGCATAAAGAATCACACGTGCTCGTACTGTGGACTGAGGAAGACGACGATGCACGAGTTGCGGACGCACATAAACAATGTTCACGCTAAGGGGCGCACGTACCCGTGCGATATCTGCGCCACGGAGTTCAGCAATATCGGTAAGATGGGGTTAGCCAGTTTTACATACATAAAAGGGTGATTACAAAATTTTCTTTTCAGGAAACCTCAACCGCCACGTTAAGATCGTTCATCTCGGCATGAAACCGTACGTCTGCCAGGTGTGTGAGCGTGCCTTCGGTAAAAGTGACCACCTGAAGCGACACATGAAAAGCCATAATCTGTCGACGGCAATAGCGACCGCTGCCCGAGCCCCAAGTGTGGTTTACGAAGATCCGGAATTAAATTTCAGAATGGAAAAGATGGAACCGGTAGCAGAGACCAATCCCCCGCTCTAACCTACAGTACGGTTCGCTTCTGCTCAATGAACTATCTACAGTGATTAGGTAGTAGGGCCATCTTTCGTTTCTATCTAATGATGAAGCATCTGAATCGAATGTAAATAAAGTATATTAAATTCACTTACGTTTCTTTCCGCCACCATCGCCGTCGATCAGCTTGTCGAACATTCGACCCACTTTGTCGCCGCCCGTCTTGGAGGCGTTCTTCCACTGGGTCGGATTCTTCCGGTAGGTATCGACCAGCAGCTTACGGTTGATGATCGCTCCCCAGGGTTTGCTGTTCAGCTGCGCCACCCGTTCAGAAAGTTCCTTGACGATCGATTCCTTCTGGGACGGGCTAGCCGCTTCGTACAGCAACTCCAGCACCCGCGATCCGTGCGACGAAAGCGCCAAATCCATATAGCATCCTTCCATGTGCCGGATCAGCTTATCCCGGGATTTCTCTCCGACGAACTTGGATCGGACGAAGGCGTTTACGACAAACGACCCCTTCGGATCGGTAAAGATCTTGGCCAGCTGGTCGCTCTTCGTATCCAGGATGGCCGAAACCAGCTTGATGGGTTTGTTGAAATCCAGAACCGATTGAAAGATAATCGAACCGTGAAGATTGATTTGTGCAGTTTCCTGTTTGGCAACCACTTCCGGCGGCATCAATTTCAGGATGGAAGTTAGCAACTTCTCACCATTCGCTTCCGAGCAATGCAAAGCATCCAACAACAGTTTGATAAACTTTCCCTGCTGGCACGAAAGACGCGCACAGGATTTTGCTAGGGATGCGACAACCCCCGTGTGGCCCAGCTGGAGAATTTCCTCCACTCCCTCATCCAGCTCGGAGAATATATGCTCCAAAATATGCTTATCGGACAGGTTATCGAGCAGCTTCTGAACTGCAAAATTGGTGGCACGCAATCGGCTGAGGCCGACAATTTTCCCCTGGAAAAGCTTCTTGTACAACTGATCCTTGAAGAATTCCGGCTCGGAAACGACCAGCAAAACCTCTAAAAGTCGGATTGAACTGTCTTGCTGGAATACTTTGGGGAGCTTCAATTTATCGTCGGGCTCTGATTCCTCCGCATCTTCTTCCCCCTCCTCAGCAGCTACCTCCAAAAGGAAACTCTCGCTCATAAGCTTTTCGCCAATCAACTGCAGCTGATACTTATCCTCACTGCGCTCCAAAGCCGTCAACACGTTCTGCAACAGAATTGATGTAAATTCGTTGTACGGAAAATCCGTAAACTGTGGCCACGCCAACAAGCGGGCACTGAATTCATTAATCAGCTTCATCCATTTATCTGGAACTGTCAGCTTCCTCACTTCCGCTACTTCTCCTTTCCCCATCTTTATTTCCGCGATCCCGGCCAGGTTCAACACGCACTGCCGAATCACATAGTTCCCGAACGCATCCCACACAAACTCCTCCAGGTTATTCAATAGGAACTTGCCCACCTTTTTCACAAACTTTCCGCACGCCTTCCGGTGATCGGCACTAAACTCCTCCTTCAAATTGTACTCCATCTCGCGTCCCACCTCCGACTTTTGCTTCTTACTCGAGGAACTCTCGCCCTCCTCTTCTAGCTTTGGCTGCAACTCCGCCACACATCTCACCACCGCCACAAACAGCGCCTTCTGCAGCACGTGCGACGCAAACCGGTCACAACACACCACTCGAAAGTTTTCCCCGAAAACCTCCATCACATGCTCCAACGTTGCTTCGTCCGTGAAACCTAGCAGATTATCCAACACCCGGCTGCTCAACTGGTTCGAGGAAACCTTAATCTCCTTCCCTTTGGCCTGCTCGTATACATTGTTCGCCATCGTCGAGCGTTCCTCGTTGTCCGCAACCTGCCCTAGGGCTCCCAAAATTTCCACGAAATAATTGTACTCATCCTGTTCCAGTTCGGCGCCACGGCCAAAGCTGTTCTTCCGACCGAAACCTTTGGCATTTTGAAGGAACCGCTTGTTGGCCGATTTGCGCTTCTTGCTGCGATTTTTTAAGTGATTTGCACCACGATCGGCGGCCGACTCTTCTTCCATTGCTTTTAGTGGAGAATATTGGAAAAGTTAACTTCGATTTTACGCGATTATATTTAGGAGAACCAAGAGGAAAACACGCGACTCTTGCGATTTTTCGTACACGCGAATCGAAAAACCTCGATCAAAACATTCTATAGACAAACAAAAACATGTGCACTGAGCCAATATGACATATTCCTGTTATGTGGAAGTCTAATAAATTTGCGCTATAAGATAATCCAATGAAAATTATATGATTGAAAATGTGTCAGATAAATTCTATATGAATATCTGATACATTTACAATGCTGATAATTTGGTAACTTTTATATGATCGTCATATGATAAATGAAAATCGGTCAAATTATAATAATTAACTGAAATGGATTTGAAACCCATAAGCATAAGCTTTACTTTTCACCACAACATAATATATGTGTCATAAATCAATCGAAGTAAAGTTTATGTGAAAACCACATGAAATTTACTTCTTCTTTTGACACATATATTTAATCGATTTCTAAAAATAAATCGAAAAATAAACATCTCGCAGTGGGGAGCTTTCACAGTTGTGTCTTTTTTTATTGTAGCTGATTTGGGATTCGATCAAGAACTGTTGAAGTGTGATGCTTTCGGTGTTTGCGCTCGATTCCACTGGGACACGGCTGACTTCAAGATTGAGCTCGTTCAATTAGCATGAAGTAAGAACAGCTCTCCCGACATGGAATGTAGTGCAACGTTATGCTCGTTTTGCTAGAGTGAAGAAAAATAGCACTGACAAATTTATGCTCCGTTTCGGTGGTGTCGTGTATTCAAATCTTGCTTAATGCTCCTGTGTGCAATAAAACAACGACTACATTATATGAGTTCAGGGAACTGGTTCATGGAGTTCGAGTACTAGTGCTGAAATCTGAATTAGCCGTGTAGAAGGCTTACAATTAGAATTTTAGCAAAGTAAATATTGCAGTAGAATCATGCCCATTTTTTCAATCTCAATACATTCTTTTCCGGAACCCCTTATCTTATGGAACAATGACAAACAAAGATTATTCAATACAGTATCATTTATGCTAGCAATATTTAGTTCGACTAATCATTTTAATGAGTGTATGATAACATCGTTGAAAATTGTTTCAATAATTCACAAAGAACAATCATGTAAGATGTTTTTATTGGGAGCGATATTCATCCCGGAAAGCCATGCCAAAACCTCGGCCAAAACAAATGTTTGCTGTTGGATTTCTTAAAAGGCACATCTATATGACTATATAATGATTGGGATAGATCTGTTTACAATCTTTAAACCTCAAAAATCAAAGGAAGCTATTTCAATTAGATATACATGTTTTCCTATACTGCAAAGTTAAATGACAGTCCAATAGTTTCTACATGTCTGTTTGCACGTGACATATCAACAAACGTCAAAAATCGTTAAAAGCAACTCCAATAAAATATACATGATTATCTTATAAGATATATCTTTTAGTGAGCAATATTCATCATGAAAACAGGTATATTTTACTGAATTTTCTCATAGTGCAAACTTATATGATTTTCCATTAGTTTCTAGATGTCTGTTCCTACCCATGACATATCAACAGTTTTTCACCATGAAATATATCAGACAATATTCATATACATCTTACCTATCGCTAACACTGTTCGAAGCAAAGTTTTATCAAGTACTAAGTATGTGAAATTACGATATAAATCATTCCATATCGCAGTCATAGTTTTTAAGTGATAATCCGATGGAATCTATCAATCATCACATAGAATGGATAAATCTGCTGACATTGCAATGTTATAAGATGGACCCAATAAACGATACATGTCGATTTGTTTCAGTGATGCGGCGTGCGCGGCAATGTAAATAATGTAAACAGGTGAGGCAGTGTGAATTCTTCGTCTCTTTCGTTCTCCCACTGTTTGAATGGTTGATGGAGTGTGACGTCAACTCCGTCATCCATTTGAACAGCGGAGGAACGAAAGGAACGACATATTTATTTGGATGTCACATATTTGGATGTGACGGACAGCGGAGCAGGACGGAATGGTCGAAATTCAATTAGGTCAACATAATAAGGGTCGTCCATAAATGAGCAAATGGTTACTTTTGGCACTACTTGACTGCCCTACAGTAAAAGTATGGATGACTGTCACCACAAAACTGAAAAAAGCTGTTCCAATCGAGCAAAGCGGTGCATTTTGACGGTTCGATTGGAACAACTTTTGACAGACGTCCATACTTTTACTGTAGGGCTTTATACTTGACTACCCTAATAAAAATTGTATGGTTAATTTGCTTAACAACGTGTTCTGGGTATCATCCAAACCATTTGTGGAATAGTCCAATGATTTGGGTTATCGTTCGTTTATGGTTATTTTTTATTAGGGTAACCTCCCAATAAAAAAGAACGATAGAAGTGCAATGAAATGTATTGTAACCATACAATAGAATTTATTGTATTCACAATAAATCGTACTATTTAATATATCAAGAGCAAATTTTCATTACGTCGAAAGTAACAAAGGTAAACAAAGTTGAGCAATCAGTGTCAATCGAAGGTCCTGCTATCCCTAATAAACAAATACCATAAACGAACTGTATCGCGGATGGGTAAACTATCCCACAAATGGTTTGGATGATACCCCGAACACGTCGTTAACCTCTCTTTTATGGTTATTTTTATTAGGGATTACATTATATACTGTCCGAATATGGGATCTCATCCCATTTTTAAATTTATTTACCAGTCAAATTGCTTTTTGACGTAATCACCTTCCGATCAAAATATTTTTCGATGTTACTTAAGTCACTCGATTTCTATGGAGATGCCGTTTGTCTTAAGTAACAGCGCAGATAACCCTGTGAAAAGTGTACGTTCGTCGTTTCGCTTTCTCATTATTAAAGTGAATAAATCGAACTGTTTGTTGCTAAGATGACTTCGGTGGTCATAAAATGATGGAGACGTGATTGATAATTCTCCCGAATATCCTGGTAAATACACGTTAACTTAAGTAACATTAGGGGCCACCAAACGACGTATGATACCTTTTGACTCAAAACCCTGTATTTTATAGCATGAAAGCTAGCGATATGCTTTGTATGATTAAAACCCTGCTTAATATGTTAAACATTGCTATTACTATGAGATTATATGCGTTTAATTGGAAATAGGAATAACTTTTCGGTCATCAAAACAAACCGTTATTTTTCTCGGATCGGTGCGAATGTTACTTTCAACATAATGAAAATTTGCTCTTGATATACTGTATAATCTATGGTAAATGCGGAAATCTACAAAAGAACAAGCGGGTTGTTATGTATCTTAATGGATCTTAACCATACAAAACTCACTTTTTTCCGAACTAACTTGAGCCATTTACCATTAATTGTAATGTTGTTCTATTGATGAAAATCCTAACAATATGGGACATATTGTACACCTATTGTAATAACAATATGTTAAAATTTCTTGTGCAATATACGTAAAATAAGATAGATTGTTGACAACAGATTTCGTTGTAACTGTATTTTATTTTATGGTAATTGTACGGTTATTTTTTTCCGGGTTATTGGTCCCAAGTACATCGATTTACGTAACGTATCCCATTCTAGTTGAAATTCTAGTACTACACTATGTTTGTTTTGATTCGCAATGAAAGTTTGACAGATAAAATTAGGGGTTCTATAAAGCTACCAGAAATTTATCAGTTAATAGAGCTTTTTGACGTTTATTATGCGCACACTGCTGCCTGCACCCAAGGGGTGGTCACTCAACACACTGATTTTAGGCCAAAAAATTTCTCAGTGCAGGGTGTCCACAACAATCAATACGAAACTAACGATTTTAAATTGGCTCACCACTTTAGTAGCCTATTGGTCCCAAGCAAACGATTAACGTACCCTATTCTAGTTGAAATTCTATTACTACACTATGTTTGTTTTGATTCGCTATGAAAGTTTGACAGATAACATCAGGGGTGTGTGGATTCATGCAGAACATGCAGGGGTGAGTGAAATAGCTTGGGACTGCTTGGGACCGTTGTTCTGGTACTGAGTGAGCCAAAAATAATAATGATTTTCTTCGGGACCCAGTGGTCTTAGAGTTACCTCTATGGTAATAATCAATGACCACAAACAAACTTTGTCCCTCCGGTAATGGACCAAGGAAATCAACGGCCAAAGTATGCCATGGATAAGACGGAAGCTGGCTACGGGTCATTGCTTCTGGTGGATCTGGGGCTGCCACAAGCGTGCAACCTCTGCAGCTTTTTACGTATTTCTCCACATCGGAATCCATTTTCGGCCACCACACATTTGACCTCAAATCGTTCTTCATCATCGATATTCCAGGGTGACCATCATGAGCATAAGACAAAACCCTATTTCTACACACCAAATTTCTTAAATCTTGTTCGGTACTTTTTTTTGCTGGATTCGTTCTGTAAAATATAAATTTTACCGAAAACTTTGTAAAAGTATTGATTTACCAATTTTCCGCAATCAAAACTGCTGAATTTCCGTAATTTATAGAAATCTACCGAAAACTGTAAATCAAAATTACTGATCTAAATCGTAAATTGCTACAATTCCGCAATACTGTAAACATTGTGACGAATGTGCTGTAAATATAATCTTTTGCAAAAACAAACAGCAGTAATGTACCAGACTTTTGTAAAAAATACAGAACAGATTTGCAAACTTCACACTGTAAAGCTTTGCTGTCATTTTGAAGTTGAGTGTTCTTTAGCTATCCTTAGTGAATAGTAAGACGTTACTTTTTTCCTATAATCCGTCCAATTTACATCGAAAGTATAAATTATATAATGCTTCTTCATTTCTTGGACAAATTGCTTTCAGACGACATGGACATTAAATGGCCAAATCTCACACACAAACCTCGTCCCCAACAGCAAAAAGCGAATTTGTGCACGGTTCGCTACTGGGTCGCTAACCACGGTCAGGTTCTTACTTTATATACGGACGCACGATGAAAATGTATGTTTATAGATAATAAATAAATGATTAGTCAAATAAATGATTAATTAATCAATAAAAATTATGTTATTAATGATTAATTCAGGCAAATTAAGTACAGTCATTCGGTAAAAATTATACCGAACGCTA